ATCACAATAGTAACTTTCACATATCGCCCCTAACCGCCAAAAAGATGTTAACTACATTTTTTTCACCATTTGCTATTTGATGCAGAAATGTTCCTAGCGCGTCTAGATGCCTTTCTGCATCAAAATTAAAATTTAAAAAAATGTCGCCATCTTTTTGACGGTTAAGGCTCGATATGTACTATATATGTGTATTTTCCATGGTATAAGAAAGAAGGTAGTTTCACTTAATGATATTAGCAGCCATGTTAGCCGTTTGACTTTTGCTGAGATTATGACATTTTCATCGAAATCAAGCTACCAGATTGAAAATTATAATAAAATATTTTTCTGAAAAGAATTTGATCGACAAAGGATAAAACAAAATAACTTTTTAAAAATAATAAAAAGAAAAATGAGTTGCGCATTTGGAAGCTGCAAAAATACTACTTGACGATATCGAGTTTGATTGGCTGGAGAATTTTGCAGGTTACCTTAGCGGAATTCGGTTTCAGGACGAGTGAAGGGAAAGACAATAATTTACTTTAGTTAATTACATATCTGAAGGAGGTCTTTATAAACCAAGTGCTGAGTTTTTGAATCTTTTGGAGCATTTCAACTCGAAATTTATAGAAATTAATGATGAAAAATTAAAAAAGTCAAAATTAAAAAAAAAAAATGTATTGTACAATTCAAATATTACTATCGAGAATTGTAAACCGTTTTTTTTTGGGAAGGACATTTTTTATNCAGTGGTCGACGCGGAATTCCATATCTTTACGGACGCTTCGGAAGCTGCTTATGCGGCTGCGCTTTATTGCCGGACGCAAAACGCAAACGGTGAGATAGAGGTGGTATTAGTTGCCGCCAAAACCAAGGTAGCGCCTGTGAAGGTCATTTCGTTGCCGCGCTTAGAACTATGCGCTGCTCATCTAGGCGCAAGGCTGGTACGGCAAGTTCGNTTTTTTATAATACGATATTTAAATCTAAAGTTAAAAGAGAACAAAACTAAATATGAAAATAAGAAGATGAGAAAAATGACATCTTGATGGGTTTGTTGAATTTATTACCTTAATAAAAACATTTAATAATGTTAACGAAACATACATGCATACATATAGATTAATTTTGAGTTTTGGGGTAGGGGTGAGAAATACCATAAACGTAAGTACATATGCCATTATCCATTGTACTTCGAAGTGAAATTGCATTCTTTATATGTACATATTTTCAATATAGCATGTACTAGACTTGTTTGGTTTCGTCTTAGAAAACTAAAATATTTACACCCATTTACTGTGAAAGAAATTCCCATCTTGAAATTCCCTAATATATTTTTAAATATTAACAATATGGTAATGTTGCTAGCAACATGAACACATTATGAAGCTTCAAAAATCTCAGTATCCCTGCAAACCATTTTTTCAGAGAATTCTGCATTGTAAAGAAATTTTAAAGAATTCGTTAAGATTTAATTCGATTATTTGCCGAATTTTCCAAAATGAAATAAATTACGCACACTTCCCTTCTTTTACGAAATTTCGGAAGAAAATCTGTGAAGCAACGAAAATAATGGTGCTATGTGAAGAATATCTTTCAGAATTTTTCCAGAATTTTTTTTTATTTTTCCTACAGAAATTTCTTTACGAGTTCGTGTCAACCACTTCATATAATTTTCTTTGAAAATTCGTAAAATAATCGTTGNTCAATCTAACGCCTTCGAGCAAGAAGTTTTTAATTGCAGTTCAAGGAAGCCGGTACCCGTTCGGAGCAGTCTTATACGTTTACAGCCGTTTCTGGACGCTAAGGGCGTCCTACGTGTAGGAGGTCGCATCGAAAATTCTACACTTTCCAACGATGCTAAGCATCCAATAATACTGCAAAAGGGGTCTTCGTTGGCAAAGATAATCGCTGCCGAAANTACTCCTAACGATTTCCTTAAGATTTCGGGAACTTTGGTTTGCAGGGATCCGTCAAAAAGTTGTTTATTGAAACTACCTTCTTTTTTTACCATGGTATTTTCAACTAAAATAAAATCTTAAACTACCACTGTTTAACTTATTTACTCTATGTATACACTTTTGATGAATTCAAAGGTACAACATATGAATCTGCAAAAACCGGTTTTGAAGACATTAATGCGGAAATTCAGAATTATTTAAAGAAATCAGAGAACAAAGGTTGTAACGATATTTATAAATGCGTTAAACAGATATTTATGAATGATTTAATTTAGGGACTTTTCGAAAAATCGAAAAAAATCGCTCAAAATGCAAATTGCAGATAAGTTCATATGGCAACTTTTTATCGAGAATATGTTCTAATGGCAGCGTGAATGAATGAATGGTAGCGTTACATCCGAAAAAGTGTTCGAATGACAGCATGCAACCACCATTAACTTTATGATTTTTTTTGTTCAAACTAGCGTCGACAGCTTTTACACAAATTGGCGCGTGTTAATGTTGTATTTTTCATGAGTTTTGGCAAATTTGCGACATTGTACACTTTTTGAGAGTAAGTTGCTTCAATGGCACACTGCATTTGATATTTCATGAGCAGTGGCTCAATCCGATTTTTTTTTGGCCTCAGGAGCTATTTGGGCGTTCACTTAATAAAGCCTATACCTATACGTATATTTCTCCTTATGCTGACTTTCTTCAGCATACGCTTCAATTTATTTGTGGTAGTCACNTGCAACAGCTCATGTCCCAACTTCCGCTCAGCCGTGTAACTTGTGCACGGAGCTTTCTCCACAGTGCTGTAGATTTTGCTGGGCCTTACGCTTTGAAATTCTCCCACGGAAGANGCAAATTTGCGACATTGTACACTTTTTGAGAGTAAGTTGCTTCAATGGCACACTGCATTTGATATTTCATGAGCAGTGGCTCAATCCGATTTTTTTTTGGCCTCAGGAGCTATTTGGGCGTTCACTTAATAAAGCCTATACCTATACGTATATTTCTCCTTATGCTGACTTTCTTCAGCATACGCTTCAATTTATTTGTGGTAGTCACTATTAGTGATGTAAATTTTCGATACTTTCAAGTATCGATCGATACTCGATACTTTGGAAACAAGTATCGAATAAAAATCCCTCATACCAAAACCGATAAAAACTGACCATGGAACGGATTTTTAGGACCTAAAAACCTATAAAAAAGGCAGAATAAAACAACGAAATAGGCTAGAAAAGGCGAAACAAAATAGCGAAATAGGCAGGAAAAGGCACTAGAAGTCACAAAAAAGGCAAAAACCGAAAAAAAGTCAGAAAATACATTTATTTTAGAAATGTTTATTTTACAAGTAAAAAGAGAAAAACTATGAACTAAGTAGTTGTAGTCATGATAAAAATATAGTAAGGTACATGACATGGTACACTTATTACAGGTATTGTCTTCCCAGAGAGTTTTGCTTCACATCGAAATTCGTGCTGCCTTATTTTCATTTTGACGCAATTCAATGTTGATTCTTTTACTTTTTATAACATAATAATTTTTCAAAACAAAAGAAAAAACGTTTGAAATGAAGTGAGCCATAAAAATTTTGAATTTATTTACTAAGCTATTTTTCGGCTTTTGCAAATTAAATAAGTCCTCTGCATGAAGGTTTGTTTAAAAAAATACGTGCACATACATACATGGTATATGGGGTATAGAAATACCCCTTTTCCCTAGCAGGAAACCTTTTAGTGTGGGCAACAATGTTGTTTTTCAAATAAGGCAGATCGGAATATGCACTCTCTGGGAAGAAAATACCTGTAATTATTGTACCATGGGTACATGATACAAAAATATAAGTGTTCGCGCCTAACTGGTAACCCTATTGTAAGGACCTGCTAGTTAGGCAGTACTTATCGGAGTTTGTAAGTTCTTGCTAGTTTGGTAGCACTGAGTTGTAAGCTGTCAAACCATGCTTCCGTTTTACATTATTAAATCGCTTTTATCAACATAAAACGTGTATATTTTCATCTGGGTTAATCCGCTAAATGTTAATCGAGTTTCGACCGCTTTTAATCGCTAACATTCTGGTCCTTCGCGCCGGATATCGAAGTCGTGTTATTATAATTGCAAACCGCGCGACTTATGCTATTTCTGTAAATTTATAATTATCTACATTCGCGTTGCCCTTACACGCAAATGTCTTCGCTCAAAATCCGCGATTCCGCTTTAAACTCCATTAAGCGACATTTGCAGTCGAGTAAAGCAGATGTGCTTTCGGTGGACGTCGAAGTGCTTTCCACGCATCTACAATTATTGGAAGAGCAGTGGGTTCGTTTTTGCGAAGCTCAACAAGAAGTGGAGCTGTCATGTGGCGACGAGAACGCTCCTATGGAGGAACAATCGCGCATACAATGCGAGGAGTGGTACATAACTGCTAAGGCCAACTTTAAACGGCTTATGTCATCGCACATACAACCACCACCGCATAATCCTGTTCCGGTTGCGCATGCATCCACGTCGCTGCCAAAGATGCAGTTCCCTCGTTTTGTGGTGATCCCACGGAATGGTTATCCTTCCACGACTCATTTTGTTCGCTGGTTAACGCGAACGCAACCCTGTCGGATGGGCAAAAACTGCAGTATCTGCGTAACTGCTTGAAAGGTGAAGCACTTAATTTGGTGAGTAGTTTGTCAGTGTGTGACAGTAATTATCGTGAGGCATGGGACTTGTTGACCTCAAGGTACAAGGTCATACGAGTCATGGTGGACAGTCACATACGGGCTCTGTCATCTATAGAAAAGGCGAGCAAAGACTCCGCTAAGGCAATCAAGCACGTACTTAATGCTACATTGCAGCACATCGGTGCGCTACGCGCGCTTGGTCGACCAACCGAGTTCTGGGATGACTGGCTCATCCACCTAACTGTATCCAAATTAGCATACGAAACCCGCAAACAATGGGAATTGTCGCTTGTGGCTGACGAGTTACCGTCGTTTAACGCTCTTCGTGAATTTCTAGAAACTCGTGCACGCTCTTTGGAGATGCTACCGCTTGCGCCTGCCAACACGAAGGTAGTTGCGAAGAATGTTCTACACACAACATGTAGCCAAGGAGAAGCATGCGACGTCGGCAAGGCGTCTGCTTGCGCTTATTGCAGTGGCGACCACAAAATATACGTTTGCTCAAAGTTTAGCCGACTCGACGCAAATAGTAAACTGCCTTAGCAAAGGGCACATTCTTGCGAAATGTCGCAGTTCATCATTGTGCCGCATGTGTCGGCAACGCCATCACACGCTGTTGCACGCAAGTTTCAACAACCAAGAGGAATCAACCGTTACGAACGCAACAAGCCAGCACGTTAGTGTCACGTCACATTACGCTGATGCTGATCGTGTCACTTTGTTGGCAACCGCCGCAGTCTTAGTACAAGATGACGCTGGTCGTTGGCAACCAGCTCGTGCCCTCCTCGATAACGGCTCGCACGCCTCATTCATAACTGAGGCCTGCGCTCAACGACTTCGACTTCCCAGACGATCTTCATCCGCTTACGTCACAGGTATAGGGGCTACCCAAGGTGGCCGTACAAAGGGAGAAGTAACCCTACGCATATCACCGCGATCATTAGACGCAAACTTCCAAGTGAGTACATTCGTGTTACCCAAAATTACTAATGATCTTCCATCCACCGCTGTACCGACACCACCGTGGCCACACATTCTGGATTTATCGCTGGCTGACCCAAGTCTCGCCAAACCTGGTCCAGTTGATATCCTTATAGGCATGGACGAAATGGACAAAATCCTACTAAATGGGTTAAGAAAGGGCCAACATGGCACTCCAATGGCGCAAAACACTGTGTTCGGTTGGGTATTGCTCGGGAACGCGGCCAATTTACTAAGGCAGCCCACATCCATAACCACCTTACACTGTGACATGCAACTATCCGAGCTGGTCAACAAGTTCTGGGAACTCGAAGAGTTACGCCCGAGAAAGCATTACACTCCGGAAGAACTCACCTGTGAACAACTTTTCGAAGACACTACCAAGCGAGCTAACGATGGTAGATACGTCGTGCGCTTACCGTTGAAGAAATCCGTACCGATAGGTGAATCTAGAAGCATTGCAGTCCGAGCATTACTCCGAATGGAGAAGAGGTTTGCTGCTGACGAACAACTCTATCGAGAATATTGTAAGTTCATGGAAGAACTTCTTGACTTAGGCCATATGGAGCAAGCTGGTGCCGTTACAGGCGACACGTACTACATGCCGCACCACGCCGTGGTAAAACATTCAAGTGCCACGACCAAGCTCAGAGTAGTATTCAACGCGTCCATGAAGACGTCATCCGGAAACTCGCTCAACGATGCTCTGATGGTAGGGCCGCAGCTACAACTAGACCTATTCTCCATACTAGTTCGTTTCCGCACGCATCGCTATGGGCTGATCGCGGACATCGAGAAGATGTACCGCCAGGTTTACGTAGCAGAACAAGATGCTGACTATCAACGTATAGTTTGGCGTGAGAACTCATCACAACCCATTCGCGATTATCGTCTTCTGAGAGTAACTTATGGAGTGGCTTCGACATCGCATCTTGCTGTGAAATCGTTACATCGCGCTGCGCTGGATGCAGGCGATGCATATAAAGGGATCTCTGATGTCATTACAAGGGATTTCTACATGGACGATTTGTTAACGGGGTCAGGACTCCCTGCACGACTTAATCACGCTGCAGAAAGATGTCGCCTTCGTATTTTCTAAGAGTGGTTTTGAACTGCGAAAATGGGCCACGAACTGTCGGCCGTTACGAGAACGAATACCGCACGTTTCCAAGCAAGTTTCGCATCTTTTAGCTGAAGGAAATGAAATCCGAACTCTGGGTTCCGTTTGGCACACCGATAAAGATTTACTTTCTATTGCTGTCAATCTACAAGAATTGCCTGACAAGATCACAAAACGCGTGTTTCTATCCGACTCAAGCAAGATATTCGATCCGCTTGGATTAGCCGCGCCCTGTACAATTCGCGCTAAAATTTGGTTACAAAGGGTATGGCGTTCAAATGTAGATTGGGACGAGTTAGTCACTGAATGTAGCAGAAGATTGGTTGGCGCATCGACGTGAGTTACCTAAACTTGCATCGCTTAAGCTGAAGCGTTGGCTGGGCACGGGCTCAGTGGTCGACGCGGAATTCCATATCTTTACGGACGCTTCGGAAGCTGCTTATGCGGCTGCGCTTTATTGCCGGACGCAAAACGCAAACGGTGAGATAGAGGTGGTATTAGTTGCCGCCAAAACCAAGGTAGCGCCTGTGAAGGTCATTTCGTTGCCGCGCTTAGAACTATGCGCTGCTCATCTAGGCGCAAGGCTGGTACGGCAAGTTCGATCTAGCCTCGCCTGTAAGCTCGGTAAGCTGTACGCGTGGACAGACTCCACAGTTACGTTAGCGTGGTTACAAGGTACTCCAAGTCGCTGGTCCGTCTTCGTTGCAAATCGCGTTGCGGACGTACAGGAAGTGTTGCCGGCAAATCACTGGAGACACGTCGCGTCGGAACATAATCCTGCTGATTGCGCTTCGAGGGGCATCACGCCTTCTCAGCTGCTCGCGCATCCTCTATGGTGGCATGGGCCGCATTGGCTGCGAGCTCACAGCGAACCTTGGCTTAATCCCTCAACACAGCTCAACACCAACCTCGAACTGAAGTCAAACAAGATGTCGCATCTAACGCAGACCGCTGGCGAATGGGATCTTTTGACCAGATACCACTCGTTCAACATACTCAAGCGAGTAACCGCTTACGTAATCCGCTTCGTAAAAAACTTACGAATTGCCGCCTCTCGCTCTAACGCAGAGAAACGAAGACTGGGTCCGTTAATCTGCGCAGAAATTCAAGAAGCCGAATTAGTTTTGGTAAAGTATGTTCAATCTAACGCCTTCGAGCAAGAAGTTTTTAATTGCAGTTCAAGGAAGCCGGTACCCGTTCGGAGCAGTCTTATACGTTTACAGCCGTTTCTGGACGCTAAGGGCGTCCTACGTGTAGGAGGTCGCATCGAAAATTCTACACTTTCCAACGATGCTAAGCATCCAATAATACTGCAAAAGGGGTCTTCGTTGGCAAAGATAATCGCTGCCGAAGATGCATATCACAACGCTACATGCTGGGCTTCAAATAATGCAGGCTACGCTTCAACGTCGATTCTGGGTCCCCGGTATTCGAAGCCTCGTTCGAGCCATATATCGTAAATGTGCTCGCTGCAAACGTCTCAATCACAAGCCGCTGCAACAGCTCATGTCCCAACTTCCGCTCAGCCGTGTAACTTGTGCACGGAGCTTTCTCCACAGTGCTGTAGATTTTGCTGGGCCTTACGCTTTGAAATTCTCCCACGGAAGGGGTGCTAAGTCAACGAAGGCATACATTTGTTCGTTTATATGTATGAGTACAGGCGCAATGCACCTGGAACTAGCAGGTGACCTTTCTTCAGTTGCGTTTATCGCTGCGTTCAAACGTTTCACCAACCGAAGGGGCTACTGTCAGCATATCTACTCTGACAACGGAACGAATTTCGTTGGCGCTGAAAGGGAGTTACGCATCGCATACGAACGCTGCATCAGTGACGATAAGTTGTCGTCGTACTTCACCGATACGCATACCACTTGGCATTTTAATCCACCCAGCGCCCCTCACATGGGCGGTTATTGGGAAGTGGGCATAAAGCGCGTCAAGTATCACTTAAAGCGTGCGCTGAATTCAACACTCCTGGCGTATGAAGAATTTTCAACCGTGCTAACCGAGGTCGAGGCTTGTGTGAACTCTCGTCCTATCTGCTGGATATCCACAAACATTAACGATTTGGAAGTCTTGACTCCCGGCCATTTTTTAGTTGGCGAACCATTGAAGACGCTCCGCGATCCCGATGTGGAAATGTTCAAGGGTTCTCTTTTCCAACGATGGCAGCTCATCACGTCAATAAGACAACACTTCTGGAAGCGCTGGCGTGACGAGTATCTTGTAAACCTTCAGCAAAGAACAAAATGGTTCCGCTCAACGCCAAATCTGCAGAAGGACGATGTGGTTGTCATACACGATAACAACGCCCCACCTACCAAATGGAAACTTGGACGTGTACTTGATAGCCACCCCGGCACCGACGATCGCGTGCGTGTTGTCAGCTTAAAGACCGCAGAAGGTGAACTCTTGAGACCCATTTCGAAACTAACGCTGCTGCCGACAAAAACTGATATATTTACTACCTGAATTTCCACTCAATTTAAAATTTTAACGGTCGTTCAAGGCGGCCGGTATGTTCGCGCCTAACTGGTAACCCTATTGTCAGGACCTGCTAGTTAGGCAGTACTTATCGGAGTTTGTAAGTTCTTGCTAGTTTGGTAGCACTGAGTTGTAAGCTGTCAAACCATGCTTCCGTTTTACATTATTAAATCGCTTTTATCAACATAAAACGTGTATATTTTCATCTGGGTTAATCCGCTAAATGTTAATCGAGTTTCGACCGCTTTTAATCGCTAACAAGAAGGTAGTTTCATTTATTGACATTCGTTGTTGTTGCCGACCACTTGACTTTTAACAAGTTTACGACATTTAACTAAAATCATGCTACCAGATCCACTAACAGCAAAATGTTTGTTTCTTGAAAAAGTAAAAAAAAATTTTAAAGTCAGTGAAGTTGGATGAAAGTATTAAAGAAAATTCTAGCGTGTTTCCAAACTGCAAGAAGTCGGTACGCCTGTGCAAACGTTTGAAAATAAAGTTTTTTGCTTTTCCGATGATAGAGTACGTTATACAATCTAATGCAGTTTAATGACAAATTGCGACGCAAAATATTTTTAAACCTCTAAAGGATGTACCGTTATCCATGGAAGAGGGAGGAGGTCGAGTTAAAATGATGCCCTGCAACTAGTAACAGTACCAATTTTTGGGTTCCCGGGTACGGTTCGGTTATTTGTACAATGCTTTTGGGTTATCGTGTCCAAACGCGTGACCCGAATCAAATAATTTTCACATATACGTCTAGCCAAAGAATAAAGTTTTAATTTAAAACAAAGATTTTGGTTTGAAATATGCATTTTTTTTTGTAAATTTGGAGGGGGATTTTGCGCAAAAATACTGTGCATGGTGTAACCGGAGTTGGACTGATGAGGTCATTTTTTCTAGCGCGGCCGAAGACCACCACCGCGGAAAGGAGTTTTGCGCAAAAATACTGCTGATGGCCTAACACGAGTTTAATTTTTCTTTATGAAAATGCTAATTTCACCCCATTTTGAAATGGCCCCCGAGTGCCTGTAGGGAGGAGAAGGATGGCTTTTGTTAAATTTTATACTATACTCTTTTTAATGAGTGTAGTTTTAGGTGACACACCCCTTCTCCCTCCGCTCCCAACCAAAACATCATTGTACAAATAACACAGGTCCACAAAAAAAAAAAATCGATGAAAGGTTCCTCTGACCAAACCTAGTCTATCATATATTTTTGGGGTCGCTGAACACGAATCTGAAGTCCGTTTTGCTCCATCACGTCTAGATTTTTTCCTAACCTCAAAAAAGACCTCGGATTTTCTCTGTCACGTAAAATCCGAGATTTTGTTTTGAGGTAAGACATGATGGAGCTTCAGATTCGTGTTCAGCGAACCAAAAAACATGTGATAGACTAGGTTTGGTCAAAGGAATCTTTCATCGATTTTTTTTGTGGACCTGTGTAATCGAACATTTCCCACGCACAACATTAAATCCTCTGATGTATTGTTTAATTGCTGTAAATGTGGCAAGGTAGCTCACAATTTTGTACAATTTATGAAACTTCAAAAACTTATTTTTTGTCAAAAATTTTGAAGTGAAACTGCCTTCTTTTTTTACCTCCTTTTATTAGCTCGGGATGTAACTATGTAATATTGATGCGCCTAAAAGATGCGGCGATTTTTATTCTCAAGTTACATACCTGATGACAGTACGAATGGCAATTATAATAGGGAGGTTTTAGTTTTTTAAACTATAATTTTATTGTATCATGGTAAGGTAGAACCGCTGAGACACTTTTAGCATTTTTGACGTTTGCAAGATATTTAATTTTAAAATTTGAAACTCAATCTCACACACATATCCTCATTTTCAATCCCTTACAACAACAATTTTGAACAATTTCTTCTTTTTATTCTCAATTTTATATTATTTTAAAATGCTGGCAAACTTAAAAAAAAAATCATCAAATCATCAAAATCAAGAAAACGGCGTCTGACAGCATTAAATACATTTATTTTTGCTAGTTTTTATACCTACTTAAAGTAAGATTTCCAGGTAAACAAAAAGTTCACGATAATAGCTATTCAAAGAATTCAAATTAACGTGTTTTCAGTCTCATCCCCTCAATCGGTAATACCACGGTCACAGATATCACATATAAAATTTGGTCCCGATTGGAGACTCTTAAGTCGTGTCGCACAGGGGCAAAGTACAGATTCTTCTATAGAGATAAAAAGAAATTTAAATGATTTTTTTTTTCATCTAATACCCAAAATCCATACTACCATAGTCGAAAATATCACATATAAATTTTGGTCCCGATTGGAGTCGGTTAAGGTGTATCGCAAATGGGTCAAAAGCCAGATGCCTATATGAACTCAAAAAATTTAAAAAAAATTTTTTTTTATTTAATACCCGAAATCGATACCACTAAAGTCGAGAATATCACATATAAATTTTGGTCCCGATTGGAGTCGGTTAAGACGTCTTCGTAGGGTTATCTGAACTTTGCCCCCTGTGCGACACGCCTTAACCGACTTCAATCGGGACCAAAATTTATATCGTCGTTTAAAGTACAATCCCGCGTATCGTCATTCTGCAAAACCGCGTAACTGACATTGGCTGCCAAAAATTGGATTTGCTCACACAAGCTCTTGGCTCAATCCTTATCTATTCGTCCTGAAATATACTAGCCAGAAGTGCTGTTGCTTTATAAAAAAGAGAAAAATTTTGAAATATGAGTGTTTTTACTCTCTAGAAAATAATTTATGCAACCTCACATACGCGGTTTTGCATTTTGTTGATACGCGGTTTTGTACTTTAAACGACGATATGTGATATCGTCGACAATGGTACTATCGATTTTGGGTATCAGATGAAAAAATAATAATTTTAATTTTTTGAGGCTCCATAGAAGAATCTGAACTTTGCCCCCTGTGCGGCACGCTTTAACCGCCTCCAATCGGGACCAAAGTTTATATGTGATATCTTCGACTATAGTAGCATCGACGTAGGCGGTGAGGCTTAAGACATCTGATGTAAAAATTTGCTTCCTACATTTAAGGACCTCCCTAATGTGCTTTTTACCTGACCCACCAACCGACATGTATTTCGACACGCTGAATCCGAATCTGAGTCCCGTTTGACTTCAAAATTTCGAGTGAATTCCGAAAAACCGAAAAAATGGCAAAAAAATCGCATACTTAGTAATTTTAATAAAGCCTTCGTAGTAAATGACATGAAAAATCGTAGCAGAAAATAAAATTCCATCGTAGATTTTTTATACATCGCTCATTTGCATACATAAAGCATAGTTCACTCAAAATCGGTACGCATGAAATGGGTTATATCTTTTTCATAGATTTTCAGAAAATAATATTTAATATGTTAAAATAAAGGGAAAATATTCCGTTATAGATACATGTTAGCGAAAGTTTCATATTTTGCTTGGATAAATAAATAAGATACAATTTCTTTGATAATAATAAAATTTTTCTGAACACCCGTTCTAGAGACTTGTGTAGTCAACTTGCTCTACTAAACTATCTTTAGTTTATGTTTTTCCACAGCTCGCATATCTCTACTAATTTTGTTTTAAATAAATACCATGTATTTTTCGATTTGACTTAAATAGATCATATTCGTAAATTGATGACTTCCAGAACTTTATTCAAATCATTGGCTTCAAACCGATTTAAAGTTACCTGTGAATAATTAGTTTTCATAAAAACCAACCAACACTTTACAAAAGGTCCAAAGTAAATGACACAATGAAATAACACTTTGTGCAAGCGCTCCTTCCAGCATATTTCTGGGGTCATATGACCCATTGTGGTGTCTGATCGAGTTTTAACGAGACTACCTCGATTCTCTTGTTATTTCATAGCCCTTTGACAACTGTGTCAACTTTTATAGATTTAGTTGTAAGAGGATATCACCCTGTTTCTTTTTAGCTTAAAACTTTTAACGTGGGAGTTGACCGAAGTCCAGTTATAAACATGTTTTATTAGTCACTATTAGAAAATACCACATTTGGTGGGAACATTCGGGGTAAAGTAAACGGGTGCGGTTTTTGTTATAAAATGTATTTAATCTAACAGAATTTTATATATTATAACTCGATAAGGTTTAAGTCTTGCCATAGCTTGCATTCGCTGAACTGTGGATAATTGTTTTCCAATTCTCTCACGCGATCTTCTCCTGATAAGTCGTTTTTTTCGTAATTGAGGTAAAGAGCCTTATCCTTTAGCTGGTGCGAAATGATGTTTTTTAACCAACTTCCAAAAAAGGAGGAGGTTATCAGTTCGTCGGAATATTTTTTTTTTTTTTTTTTTTTTTTATGTATGTTACCGCATAACTTTGGACCACGTCAACCGATTTCGATAATTCTTTTTGCAAGGAAGGTAGTGTCTCAGAGGTGGTCCCATACTAATCTGGTTAAGATCCGATCAGCGGATCATGAGATATATATATATATATATTTTTTTTTATATGAGAGTTGAAGTCGGTTTTTTTTTTTTTAAATTACTAGTTAATGATTCCCTTACCCCGTTAGTTTAAGCAGAAGGAATCTATTCATTGATTTTTGGAGGATAATTATAAGTTTTTGCCATATATCGGATTTTCTACGAATTTGTTCAACATTATTTTTTGAGCATCAACTTCCAACGCGAATAAAACTGTCAAATAAAAAGCCAGTACTATGAAATTTGAACTTCATAATGGTAGATCTTTTGTCTAACGATCTGCATTGCAATTTTTTAATACATTCCAACAATTGCTGTACAGAAATTGCTAGAACGCGTACCGATTTTGAGTGAACGATGCTTTATATTATGAAGTATATATACATATATACATAAGCAAGGTAAAAAGAAACCTCACGATTAAGCTTGCCTTGGGCTTGGGGCAAAAGCTGCGCGCGGCGGGTTTGCCATTGATTTCTTCGAGATGCGGTTAAAAACTTTGAGATTCTCCGATTTACTGGAAATATGACTTTTTAATTTTCGTGTATGATAAAAAATAACATATTCTTTAAACACGTACATTTGTTATGTAGTAGGCATTTGAATCGCTCATCTAATTATAATATTTTAACAACATTGCCATTGTTAAAACTATTATCGATTCGCAACTGAATTTCAAAGAAAAGTTTCTGATTTATAAATCTGCCTTTACATCCATCAATTTAATCACTTGATATACCTTTAGATACGCAGTGGATACAAATTTGTATAGCGTCTACGGAGTTCAGACAATTGCCGAATGTAATTGGTAAAATTCTGCCAGTAAGCAACCATTTATTTTAAAGGTGTTTGATATAATGGCAAACAGTTGGGCCCATGCAAGAAACAGAATGAGGGTAAAACTGATATTGTCCCAATTTGACAAGCCTACTCACAGTTTACAGTGGTTCGGATCGCAAATCTAGCTGGACGAAACTATTTAAACAAATACTCGTTGATGGATCTTTACACCACTTCTTACCTAGGGGATTTTTGGGTCGCTGATTACGAATCTGAAGTCACTTATCAAAAATTCAAAATGGCGGATCCAATATGGCGGACGGAAATAAAAAAAATCGGTAGATTTGTATGAAACTGGGTATCTGGGGGGTTTCTGGGTCGCTGATTACATATCTAAAGTCATTTACCAAAAATTCAAAATGGCGGATCCAATATGGCGGACGAAAATTTAAAATAATCTGTAGATTTCTACGTAACTGGGTATCTGGGGGTTTTCTGGGTTGCTGATTACGAATCTAAAGTCATTTACTTAATTTACTTTATTTACTTCGGAACGAGCATTTTCATCAGATATTTCTTTCAATTTACCAATCACATAATCACGGACACCTTGTTGTCTTTTAGAAGTTTCAGCAATACTTCTCCAAATGTCAAACAACTCACTTCTTAAGATTTTATTTACCATGACTAAAATTTAATTTAAAATTTAAGATCACAGCAAGAAACACAAATAAATTTCAGAAAATATTTTATAACTGCGCTTAAAGATTTGCATGCCTGTTGTATAATTTTTTAATTTCAGAAAGCAGAAAATTCGCGAGTTACTATTTTTTTTTAACTCTTACATAACCAAAGTTTTTATAACTCCAAGTATTTTTCTGTTTTAACACACAACCATTACCCCCCTTTCATTTAAAAAGTGGAGTTGACTTCTATGAGGATTTCACGAGGATAATCCTATAATAACTACCTACAATTTCTAGCATGGTATTGTGATACATACGATATATGTATGTACATATGTATGTACGTATGTAATATAGAAAGGCCCTAACTCATTCTATTTCGAAACTCAGCTCTGTGCAACAGTCGGTAGATTACTCACTAAAGGCTTAATCGAATTTGAAACTGTGTTTATAGAAAACTAGTGTAAGAAAAAAATTCAACCGAAGAACTTTAGTTTATATAAAGTTTTATAACTACGTGGTAAAGAAACAAACATGTTAGATAGGGCCTTTCTATACAGGGCTGCCAACTGTACTTAGCTATGAAGTGCTATATTGAGGATAAAAAAGTGCCAAAATGTGCCAAATAGAAAAATAAAAGTGACAAATAAGGTGCCATTCTTTTTAATGCACCCCATTTAGCATTGAAATTAGAAACACATTCCTAAAACAAAAGACCAATGCCAAAGTAGGATAAAACAGTTTTATATGTATACTATAGAAATTAGAAAATTTTAGTTGAGAAAAAGAAGTACACGCAAAGGACTTCCCAAAAATGTATTGAAATATTTCTATTTTTCAAAAGTGCCAATTTGGCACTTTATGCCAAATTGAAAAATTAAGTGCCATTTGAAGTAAAATAGGGCCAAAAATGGCACGATTTGAGCCAATTTGGCAGCCCTGTTTCTATATTAAGGCAATGATACGTAAATATGTATGCATGTTTATGCGAACCAGTTAAATTGAAATACATTCTTTTAAATTTATTCTGTACATCAAATGTGCATACATATGTACATACATACATAAATACATTACATATATATGCATATGGATGCGAGTACTACGTACAAATAAGTGAATGCCCTTCTAACTACATATGAATATGTTTCAATTTAGTTTATTTTTTCTCACAACACACATTTTAGGTCTCTTCAATTATTCGCTGACGCACACACACATATGCACATTTCCGTATATAAAAACAAGCTGCCTTATCCATATTTCAACCCATTCATTCATATGTCAATTCAGTTTCTTTACTCTGCCATTGTACCGGCGCATCGCTTATGATGATGATGGAGACAATGATTACGTTGTTGCTGCTATTAACGTTGTTATTAAAGATGGTCGGGTGTTTGCGGTGCCGGCAGTGGGTAGTTGAATTTTTAAATAGGGAACGAAACGAGCACAAATGGAATTTTAAAATTTCTGTATAAATAATTGATATTTTGAAAGCCACCAAAGTAATGAAACCACGAAGAAACGCAAACGTCGATGGAAACGCCAAAGTTGAAGTCGAAATCGCTCAAAGCGGTCGCACCAAGTCGCCGAGTAAACGTAGTACATATGTACATACTCATAGAAGAAAACGGAATATGGAATATGGAATAATAGCAACAATGAAATATTGCATTAAACGAGTAAATAGTTATTGTGTGTATCACATAGTTTTATAATTTGTTGGTTGGTTGGGCTTGTGTGACTAGACTTCTCACACTCGTTCATACCTATGAATTAAGTATTTGTACAATTTTCATTGTGCCTCCGCCGCTCCTAGTCTACACTAGGTAGGTTCCAACGAACGCTGCTTAAAATACTTATATTTGTTGTTTACGTCTTGCCGCTCCACTTTACTTACATATGCGCTCTTTCTCTGCACTGCCAGCCGCTCTAGCTAGTTTCTTTGTAATTCTTATTATTATTATGATGATTTTTGTGTTTTTTTCTACGAGTATTACTTCTTGTTCGTATTTTATTTTCTTTCCCCATTTGCCTTTTATTACAGTTTATGTATGTATGTATGTATGCATATGTACTTATGTTGTTGTTGTTCAAAGTTTTGTTTGTTGTGCTTGTTTTTGTATATTCACGTATATTTATTAAAAAGTTTTCATGTTCTCTACTTTTCCAGTTTTAGAGTCAGAGTCAGAGTCGGCCGGTACGTTGATTGGTTTGGTTCGTTGCGTTTTCGGATTGCTCTGAATGAATTGGATTGACTTGAATCGAATTGGAAGTTGATCAAAACGGATCAGATCGCCATGGATTACTTAATTATTCATCATACATACTAAGTATGTAAAGTGCGTAAAATATTTTTAGGTGGCAAAGTGTTTGTAATACATATGTATGTACATATAACGTGCTTATGATGTGATATGTACAAATGTACATAAAGTACAACTATAGTATGAAAACGCTTTATAAAAGGAAGTAAATGTGCCATTAAACAATTTCGGTGTAAATCACTTGATGTGTAATTGAACATTTTCGACTGCTTATCAATCGCCCGCAGTAGTGACGTATGTATGTACATCGGACCGCATTCCGCTCACCTTATACCTATACGCATACAAATGAATAGAAACACGCAATATGCACATACATACATTTTGAAGTATAAACACACACGCGCCCATCCACCCACCAGCGCGACCAGTTTGGTAAACGAATATTTGTGACGTCGCCGTTGACTGTCTCGTCGCTGTGACTCGTGAGTGCGAACGCGTCAACCCCATGCAAACGCCCATGCAAAGAACCTACACCTATACAAACGCATCGGTACGCAACCAAGGTACAATTTATTTGGTGATTCTGTGAGAGCACTCGCGTTTTCCGAACTCTCCCAGCATCTTTGAGACGTCGTCGACGCTTACAAATTAGAAGAAGCGGCGGCGGCAAGGCAAGAATACCCGAAGATAGCAGTAAACAGACGCGGCAAGTCGTAATACCTTCATTTAACGTACAAAGTGGGGATATACATAAATACATGTATGCAGTTGCAGTGCAACAGATTCGCGAAGTTGTGTCTTCTAGCAGCTAGCATCATCATTCCCTTTCCTCGTTCTCGTTGACGTTGCGGTTGTTTGTATTGTTTTTGTTGTGGAATCAAGATACCGGAGGGGCGCGACGTTTAAACTGTCGCAAATGCTGCTGTGGTCGTCTCCTGCTGCAAAATGGAAGCAAACAATATGCAACTTTGCCGCATCTGCATCTCAGCGAATGTGGGCTGCACGCAAATGATTTCGATATTTGGCGAAGATTCGCTGTGGCAAAAAATCACTACATTGGCCGATGTTAAGGTATTTAAATGCAGATATTCAAATTCATCACATCTATGTACATACATCCATACATACATATGTGCATTCTTGCACACATATATACATGTGCATGACTACATGCATGGCTGATGCAGTGTGCAGATATAACTAATATGTAGGTACTTACAGTGGTGACCAAAATATATGGAACTACTTAAATACTACATAAATACAGTTTTATTTATAAAAAAACTTGAAAAATGATCGCAAAAATTTATACACACAATGTATACGGTGCACATAGGGACGAATTGACAATATGTACATATTTGATAGATTTCAATGAAATTTGGTATTTAGGGATTTTCATCATCACTGATCTCGAATATTAAATTAAATTTCCAAAATTCGCAATGGCGGATGCAATATGGCGGACGATTTCTTAAAAAATGTCTATGTTTTTATGAAGCTTGGTGTCCAGAGATTTTCGTCGTCACTGATTTCGAAATTGATATTAAATTTTCAAAAATCAAAATGGCGGATCCAATATGGCGGACGGTTTCTTCAAAAATGTATACATTTTTATGAATGGTATTTACTCCATATGTATTTGACAGATTTCAATGAAATTTGGTAATTAGGGATTTTCGTCGTCACTGAATTCGAATATTAAATTAAATTTCCAAAATTCAAAATGGCGGATCCAATATGGCGGACGATTCATTAAAAAATTTATAGCTTGTTATGAAGCTTAGTATCCAGAGCTTTTCGTCATCACTGATTTCGAAATTGATATTTAATTAAAAAAAATCAAAATGGCGGATCCAATATGGCGGACGATTTCCTCACAAATGTATAGATTGTTATGAAGCTTGGTATCCAGAGATCTTGGTCGTCACTGATTTCGAAGTTGATATTATGTCTTCAAAAATTCCAAATGGCGGATCAAATATGGCGTCCCGAACAATAAGCGTTTTACTTTTAATGCAAGGCATTACCTTTAGCACAATTTGAACCCATTTTGAATTTTGAAAATTTAATTTCAATTTCGTAATCAAAGATAACGAGGATCTCTGAATACCAAGTTTCATAACAAACTATGATTTAAAAAAAGTGGTGCGCTAANATTTCGTAATCAAAGATAACGAGGATCTCTGAATACCAAGTTTCATAACATTCATTCATTTTTGAAAATTTAATATCAATTTCGAAACCAGTGACGACGAAAATCTCTGGATACCAAGCTTCATAACAATCTATGCATTTTTTTAAATTNTACCAAGCTTCATAACAATCTATGCATTTTTTAAGATATCTTCCGCCATATTGTATCCGCCATTTTGAATTTTGAAAATTTGATATCAATTTCGAAATCATTGACAACGAAAACCCCTGGATACCAAACTTCATTGAAATCTGTCAAATACATATGGAGTAAACATTTTTGTCCTCCTATATTCTTGAAAAAAAAGGCAATTTATAAAATAGGTATTATACCCATTTTACAAACAACTATATTATTAACAAAAATCGCAAAATAAAGTACATACCTCACGCCCCACTTTCCATGTTGACAAAACTATTAGTTGTTAGTAAGAATAAAATGACAAGCGAAACTATTTTATCATCGCTTCAAACAAAAAATTATTTAATTCGACGCACGATAGAAAACCCAACTTTACGTTTCTGCTAAAGCTGCTGCGTTGCGTTAAAAGTCAAAATTTGTGTGTTATTATTATTATTATTAGTACGTCGGGTATACTCGCGCTGCGACCTAAAAGATCTATTGTGCTAAACCCTGATTGTGGTCACTCCAACCTTAGGCTATTCAAGAAATTAAGCACATTGGAGGGTGCCGTGTTCCAAATCTTGGATGGAGAAGACAATCGTTCCCCAAGGTGCATCAGTCTGCTATTCATGATACGCGGGCAGTCACACAGAATGTGCTCCGAGGTTTCCTCCGCCAGCCCACAGAACCTGCAGTCCGTCTCTACAGAAAGCCCCATTTTGTTTAGATGGTACCTTAACTTGCAGTGTCCTGTCAGGTAGCCTGTAATAGTCCTAAGACCCTCCCGGCTGAGTTCACGGAGTCTTTCTGAGTTCCTCTTGGAAGGAGTTATGAATTTCTTTGATTGTCTCATTCCCTTTGACTTACGCCAGTGGGCAGCAATCTGAGATTCCTCCCAACTCCTAAGTAGTTCTGCAGTGTATCCTATAGATGTACCACAGAAAGGCTCGGGACCATGCATTCGCGTTTGGGCCCCACGTTTTGCGAGATAGTCAGCCCTTTCGTTGCCTTCAAACCCTTCATGCCCAGGGACCCACCACAGCGTAACTCTATTATGGGCTCCTAGGCTATTCAGAAGAGTTTTACAACTGTCCACAAGCCTAGATGTCGTTTTAAATGAGTCTAAGGCCCTTAGTGCTGCCTGGCTATCCGACATAATATTTATTCTGGCCCCGTTTGTCCTTCTCCGAAGACATTCTCGAACACAGACTTCGATTGCGAAGATCTCCGCCTGGAATATGGTTGGGTATGAGCCCATTGGCAGACTTTTCTGGAACCTTGGTCCAAGCACGCCTGCCCCAGTACTCCCGTCTTCCATCTTTGATCCATCGGTATACCATACTTGGGACCCTTTGTCAATCATAGATATTATCGCTTTACAGCAGTCCCTTTCAGGAATTCTGACCTTGTAGGGCTTATCAAAGGATAATTTCGGTAGCATGATATCTGTGAGCTTGATAGCGGGATCATCCAGAAAAGGCTTGAGAACCTCCAAGTGACCCCAAAGATCTCCACTCTTCATGCTGATTACATTGGGCAGCCGTATGGAGCTCCAGCAGGCCTCCTTTTCTATCAGAATAGATAGAGGAGGAATGCCTGTAATTATACCGAGGGCATCCGTTGGACAGGTGCGCATAGCTCCTGTGATGGCCACACAGATCAAGCGGTGTAGCTTGCTCAAGGTGGCACACGCACTTGCTTTCTTTGCTTTTGGCCACCAGGCCAGTGCCGCATATGTGACAACAGGTTTCACGACCGTATTGAAAGACCAATACGTTAGTTTGGGTGATATTCCCAAATTTGTGTGTTACATTGTGGACTGGTTTATAAGGAGGAAAGGTATGTGTGATAAGATTTAAAGACTTTGGTTTTTCAATTTTTGTCGTCGTAATAAGTCATTTTGTCCTTATGTGCGGTGGCGAGAATGTAAATAGGGAAAAGACATTTTAGCAAGTTTTGGCTACTTTTCTTAGTTTAAAAAATGCTTATTATTTTTTTATGAAAATATAACTTACTACTATATATATAAAAAAAAAAACAAGTAAATAAAAAATTAAAAATTTTGTGGAACATTTGTAAAAATTCGACGAATAAATTTTAAACATTTTTATCCGATTTTCTAGAATTATGCAGTTTTGTAGCCCATTAAATTTTAGTATAATAAAGTGCAAGTTTGAAGTAGCTTGAACTTATCGTTGTTTTTTGGCAATTTTTTGTTTGCGCAATTTCTTCCATGAAAAGTAGGTTTAAAAATTTGTTTGTATTGAAAAAAAGGGGAACACCTTCCACAAATAAATTACAGACATGATGTCTGAGACATCAACTATCAAATATAATAAACATTAAATAATCGAAATTAGAATAGCCCTCGAATGTTAAACTCTCGCTTCCCTATTTGTATTTTCGCCACTGTATCTACAGCTTTTTCATATGATTTTTTTTTGAGGGAATTAGTATTGTTTTTTATAATAATAATAATAATAGATTGGCGCTTACACATATGTTAGTGTTTGGCCGAGCTTCTCCTCCAACTTGTGGCGTGCGCCTTGATATTGTCACACAAAGCGGAGGGACCTACAGTTTTACGCCGACTCCGAACGGCGATTGTATTTTTATGAGAAGCTGTTTTTCATGGCAGAAATACACTCGGAGGTTTGCCATTGCCTGCCGAGGGACGACCACTGTTAAGAAAAAAAATTTTTCTAAATTTTTTTTGCGATGTTGTTTTGACCAGGGCTTGAACCCAGGTGCTGGTGAGTGAAGCGCGTACTGCTTACCACTACACCACAGCTAAGTTTCATTAAATTCAACTTAGAATCATTTCATTAAAAAACACTTAACAAATAACTATAAACACCTTGAAAAAAATTGGACAATAATGTTAGACTGCAATATATTGAGAGTACCAGTTTTACAGAATAAAACATTACCAAGGATCATAGAAAGTAAGGATGCTGGCTATGTTTATGGCTCCCTTATATTCTATGTCCTTTTTGGTAACGAAAGTGCTACCACGTTTTACGAAAAATTGTTTTTGGACCATACTACAGGGATACTCTTATTAAATTAATAAATAAAACACTGAAAATCAGGATTAAATCGGTACAAATATGAAAAATTGGGACACTATATGTCCCTACTTTAAAAAAATATTCAGCGGGATAATTTTCTCAAAATCGGTACTGTCCCGCCAAAATCGGTATGTATATCATATCAATAGTTCATTTGAGAATGATATTTAGTCGGCTCATTGCAATAAATCTTATACATATATAGGCAATCATGTTTCCTTTACACCCCTTTTACGGCTAAACTATACTTCTAAGGTATAAATAATTATACATCGTTAGAAAGGTATTTTGATGCTGAATCGCAGACAATTTTTAAAATTTCAAGTTAGTTTAACATAAAATCAATTCAAAAGTGCCACCAGTACCAATGCCCCACATGAACATGGTTGGGCCGGAAATGCTTCTTAAACGTATGCTATAATATTGATACTGAATTACAGAAACGTGCTAAGCAGCAGTTTAGGAATAATATGTATTTAGTCCCAGGTTGACCGAGCTTTGCCCGGAGCGCATATACTTTTTAAAGTTTTCAAGATTTGGAAAGCTTTAAAAAAAAATATTTTGAAAAAAAATTGGATTTCGATATCTATTAGGTAAATTTCTTACGCCAAAATTTAGATGGCAACCCTATTCCGAAATACGCTGAAATGAATGCTACGTATCTTGTACTGTGTATACTT